TAACCACCATAATACTCATATTATATCTACTTTATACTGTATATTTTTATATAGCCAAACTTACTAAATACATGCACTATATGTATATACTCTTTATAAATGCACTTAGCATCTCAATCTTAGTAATTAATAATTCACTAAATGCATATTACATTCAGATTATATGGTACACATGTCTGCTATATAAGATATAAGCTCGAAGAAAGTTTACATGAAAAGGTTTGACCAGTGATCTTCGAGACCATATTTGCGACATATAGGTGTATGCTGAATGTTAACCATTGGCCAATTAACCTTCATGTAACTTTTCATACCTACATATATAATATGATTTTCATTTATAAAATGTAAAATAATTGGGTTCCTTCGATGCACTGGTGGTGTTTCTAATGGAAAGAACATCATACTCTGTTCATTTCTCTCGTCAAAAATAGCGATAGGAACAGAAAAAGTGTTGGCAGCTAATTGAGCGCAATCAGGTGACAGAAACCAAAGCGAAGGTTCACAAGGTGATGCTCGAGACTCCAATATCTGTTTAAGCAATTCAATGTTATAACCTAACCAATCTTTGTAAATCTCCATTCGCTTATTTAATTGATTATTCATTGCTAATTTGATGAGGTCCCAATTTTCTTCATTCCCTCTAATAGCAAAGACAAGTGCATGAAATCCACAATTACCATCGCTTAGTGGATTATATACTTGGTCTATATCATCAGCAGGAATGTGATAATTTAACAAAATCTTCGAGGCTTAATCTATATAAATATAAATAATTTATTTTTTTTTTGGTTAAAAAAAAAGATTTTTTTTAATATTACCTTCGATGTGAAGTTCTGAAATACATTGCGAAAAGCTGGTACTTTTAGTTGGTTCTTTCTTAACATTCTTGAAATTTTTTTTATTTTTATTATCGATTTTTTTTTTTTTTTTTTCCTCTTGTTTTATACGTTCCAATGCAGTTGGTAATCATTTGGTTCCAGAAGGATGGCCTTTTCCTATAATTTTTTCTGGTACTTTTATATCAGAAAGCTTAACTTCTGGAACTGTCAAAATATCATCAAGTTGGTTTAGAAGGACTAACTTTTGCTGTTCATCTAAAAAGCCCATATATCGTATTTCAACCATATAAAGCTTAGTTTTAAGTGAAATAAAATTGTTAGGATTAATTGAAGCTATATTTTAAACTATATGACGAGAATCTAATTGATCTTGATCAGGAAATAATAGCCATCTTTTTGAAATACTTGATAACACAATAGGACATTTTGCTGGAAGCATATGACGACAAGGTATATTGTAATTAACACGTGGTTCGCACAAGCAAACTTCATATATAGTGGTACTGAGAAGTTCATTCTTTATACTATTTAGCGCAAACTGAGATACTTTTCCCAAAAGTGGTCCTAATTGATATTTATCATCTTGTGCTAACAATGGGTCAATATTTATACTTTTACTTTCATATTGCAATGAGCTCTCTTCATAATGCAAACGCAACCATCTGTCTAAAGAATTAAAAGCTTTCGTCAAACTTCTCGAACTCTCAATTGCATGCTTCATAGCTGAATATGCACCTTCAACTCATTGCATTGTTGTTGTACCAAAGTGCATAATCTTGCTTGTATATATACCAACTTATTTCTTTCTAACTTTAATCATTCTTTAGAAAGTTATTTTAAAAACATAATATGTTATATGAAATTAAATTTTTACTTTCAATAAAATTAAAAAACTAAATATTATAAATAGGGAAATTCTATTTTCACCCAGATTAAAGTTACTCAACATATAATTTCTATTACATTAGTTAGAGTAGACGAATTTTAATAATGTTATATAGTATAATAAAAGTTATATATCGGGTTACTTTAACCCAGATAAAAATAGAATTTCTTTTATAAATAATTATTTACCTCTCAAGATATTTTATTACATTCTCTTCGTTTAAGCTCAATGAGGCCAATTTTTTATAGGCAGTAATTGTTGAATTGAATGCATCATAATCCCTTACATTAATAAGATGATCCACAGTTTTAATAATTTCATCGAATGAATCATCATCAAAATGTTTTCTTAAATTTTTTTTAAAATTATTTAAAATGTGCCAAGTACATAAAAGACAATCAGCTTTTGAAAAAATTTTTCTAACAGCACTAGTAAGTGTGGCATCATTATCTGTAACAAACACCAAAGGAGAAAGTTCAAAAAATACAAGAGAAATGAGCTGTCGAATAACCCAAATATACGAATTCTCTGATTCATCAGAGATCCAGGTGCCAGCAATACCAAATGTTTGCAATTTATTTATACCAAGATTACCAATGCCAACAAAATTTACAAATGGTAATTTGTAAACATTTGTTTTATAAGTGGCATCGATTAAAACCACTTCTGGAAAGCGTCTGGCACTTGTTACCGAATTAGAATAGCAGAAAAATAAATGCTTTAGATGACTATCTACACTAAATCAATAGACTATATTATTAATATATAGAGATATTTATAGTAGCAATATAAACCAATAAAAATACTTTCCTTTATAATTTTCACAGCGCACTATATATCCTCTTTTCTTCATGCCAATTATCAGTGCCTTCATTGAAGCAGTCTCCTCTAGAGAGTTGATTTGTAAGCCTAAATTAGATATGTCCTTTCGAGTTGTGGTTGGGTTTCCATCCTCGTCCCTAATAGCTTCATAGATCATACTTGGGCTTGCTCCTGCTTTCAACATTCGCACAGCCACACTTCTTGTTTCCTGCATTAACTGACGATGTTCATGGAAAATTCTTTCATCTTTGGTCATAGGATGATTATGCTTATTTATTATTTCAGTAACATGCCATTTAGAATTTTGTAGTACTGCCTTTAAAAGAAATTGGCATCCATAACGTTTACTCATTCTTTTTCTTTTGCGCGTGTCTACTGTCAAATTTGAGGTATTACAGGGTTGACTGCCATGTTTGCATTGAAGATGTAAATGGCGACAACTACTGTTTTTGATTGTTACTGCAAATCCAAGACACTTAGCAATTTCCTGTGCAGTATTGAGAATGTCTTTTGCTGTAATATAATCTTGTTCAAGCATTTTATTAATTTCATTAGCTATTAAAAGAAATAAAAATTATCAGTATAATAATCCCAATTTATAATTATATAGAATATTAAAAAAGAAAAAAAAATGCTGCATCATTTTGATTTATTTTAATCCATTGACATATGAATATCACAGTCTCTCCTTTATTAAATCTAGTTTTATCATCTTCTTCGATCTCGCTTTCATTTTCACTACCAAATTCATTGTCGCTTTCATCATTAAATTCATTCTCATCTTCACTATAAAATTTATTATCCTCAAATTTGACTTTTATTTCCTCAAAATTATGGCTATCTTGATCCAAAAAACCGTTCATTTCCTGTTTATGTATTCCAGTAATTCAAAAGTGAAGTTTTTGCCTTTTATGTATGTTAACTTCAGAACTTGTACGATAAAGTTACGATTTTGTCAAAAATGGAAAATCAGATATTTATTTAATATTCTAAATATCTGAATATGTAACATATAGTATGTGTTCCCTGAATATTTTCTAAAATCTAATTGGTCAAAATTTGGGGTGCTCATGTCGATCATCGTGGTGCCGATAAAGGAGATAAATCATGTGTTGTGGTGTAAGTAGCAATCCCCCATCAAAATCATTCTGATCTCGTGATCCCGTAATCAGAATCATATGATCTTGTGCTCGTTAGAATCGTCTCAGTGAGCTGAATCCAATGGTGGTTGTTTCATCCAAATTGGTTCGGTACATCAAAAGTTATGGTCAAAAATGTGTAAAACTCTTAATGTTAACAT